GATGGCCTGCCGAGGGGATCTCCCAGAGGCGATAGCCTGCCGAGGGGATCTCCCAGAGGCGATGGCCTGTCGTGGGGATCTCCCAGAGGCGATGGCCTGCGGAGGGGATTTCAAAAAAGGCGATGGCCTGCCGAGGGGATCTCCCAGACGCGATGGCCTGCCGAGGGGATCTCCCAGAGGCGATGGCCTGCCGAGGGGATCTCCCAGAGGCGATGGCCTGCCGAGGGGATCTCCCAGAGGCGATGGCCTGCCGAGGGGATCTCCCAGAGGCGATGGCCTGCCGAGGGGATCTCCCAGAGGCGATGGCCTGTCGAGGGGATCTCCCAGAGGCGATGGCCTGCCGAGGGGATCCCCCAGAGGCGATGGCCTGCCGAGGGGATCTCCCAGAGGCGATGGCCTGCCGAGGGGATCTCCCAGAGGCGATGGCCTGCCGAGGGGATCTCCCAGAGGCGATGGCCTGCCGAGGGGATCTCCCAGAGGCGATGGCCTGCCGAGGGAATCTCCTAGAGGCGATGGCCTGCCGAGGGGATCTCCCAGAGGCGATGGCCTGCCGAGGGGATCTCCCAGAGGCGATGGCCTGCCGAGGGGATCTCCCAGAGGCGATGGCCTGCCGAGGGGATCTCCCAGAGGCGATGGCCGGCCGAGGGGATCTCCCAGAGGCGATGGCCTGCCGAGGGGATCTCCCAGAGGCGATGGCCTGCAGAGGGGATCTCCCAGAGGCGATGGCCTGCCGAGGGGATCTCCCAGAGGCGATGGCCTGCCGAGGGGATCTCCCAGAGGCGAGGGCCTGCCGAGGGGATCTCCCAGAGGCGATGGCCTGCCGAGGGGATCTCCCAGAGGCGATGGCCTGCCGAGGGGATCTCCCAGAGGCGATGGCCTGCCGAGGGGATCTCCCAGAGGCGATGGCCTGCCGAGGGGATCTCCCAGAGGCGATGGCCTGCCGAGGGGATCTCCCAGAGGCGATGGCCTGCCGAGGGGATCTCCCAGAGGCGATGGCCTGCCGAGGGGATCTCCCAGAAACGATGGCCTGCCGAGGGGATCTCCCAGAGGCGAGGGCCTGCCGAGGGGATCTCCCAGAGGCGATGGCCTGCCGAGGGGATCTCCCAGAGGCGATGGCCTGCCGAGGGGATCTCCCAGAGGCGATGGCCTGCCGAGGGGATCTCCCAGAGGCGATGGCCTGTCGAGGGGATCTCCCAGAGGCGATGGCCTGCCGAGGGGATCCCCCAGAGGCGATGGCCTGCCGAGGGGATCTCCCAGAGGCGATGGCCTGCCGAGGGGATCTCCCAGAGGCGATGGCCTGCCGAGGGGATCTCCCAGAGGCGATGGCCTGCCGAGGGGATCTCCCAGAGGCGATGGCCCGCCGAGGGGATCTCCTAGAGGCGATGGCCTGCCGAGGGGATCTCCCAGAGGCGATGGCCTGCCGAGGGGATCTCCCAGAGGCGATGGCCTGCCGAGGGGATCTCCCAGAGGCGATGGCCTGCCGAGGGGATCTCCCAGAGGCGATGGCCTGCCGAGGGGATCTCCCAGAGGCGATGGCCTGCCGAGGGGATCTCCCAGAGGCGATGGCCTGCCGAGGGGATCTCCCAGAGGCGATGGCCTGCCGAGGGGATCTCCCAGAGGCGATGGCCTGCCGAGGGGATCTCCCAGAGGCGATGGCCTGCCGAGGGGATCTCCCACAGGCGATGGCCTGCCGAGGGGATCTCCCAGAGGCGATGGCCTGCCGAGGGGATCTCCCAGAGGCGATGGCCTGCCGAGGGGATCTCTCAGAGGCGATGGCCTGCCGAGGGGATCTCCCAGAGGCGATAGCCTGCCGAGGGGATCTCCCAGAGGCGATGGCCTGTCGTGGGGATCTCCCAGAGGCGATGGCCTGCGGAGGGGATTTCAAAAAAGGCGATGGCCTGCCGAGGGGATCTCCCAGACGCGATGGCCTGCCGAGGGGATCTCCCAGAGGCGATGGCCTGCCGAGGGGATCTCCCAGAGGCGATGGCCTGCCGAGGGGATCTCCCAGAGGCGATGGCCTGCCGAGGGGATCTCCCAGAGGCGATGGCCTGTCGAGGGGATCTCCCAGAGGCGATGGCCTGCCGAGGGGATCCCCCAGAGGCGATGGCCTGCCGAGGGGATCTCCCAGAGGCGATGGCCTGCCGAGGGGATCTCCCAGAGGCGATGGCCTGCCGAGGGGATCTCCCAGAGGCGATGGCCTGCCGAGGGGATCTCCCAGAGGCGATGGCCGGCCGAGGGGATCTCCCAGAGGCGATGGCCTGCCGAGGGGATCTCCCAGAGGCGATGGCCTGCCGAGGGGATCTCCCAGAGGCGATGGCCTGCCGAGGGGATCTCCCAGAGGCGATGGCCTGCCGAGGGGATCTCCCAGAGGCGATGGCCTGCCGAGGGGATCTCCCAGAGGCGATGGCCTGCCGAGGGGATCTCCCAGAGGCGATGGCCTGCCGAGGGGATCTCCCAGAGGCGATGGCCTGCCGAGGGGATCTCCCAGAGGCGATGGCCTGCCGAGGGGATCTCCCAGAGGCGATGGCCTGCCGAGGGGATCTCCCAGAGGCGATGGCCTGCCGAGGGGATCTCCCAGAGGCGAGGGCCTGCCGAGGGGATCTCCCAGAGGCGATGGCCTGCCGAGGGGATCTCCCAGAGGCGATGGCCTGCCGAGGGGATCTCCCAGAGGCGATGGCCTGCCGAGGGGATCTCCCAGAGGCGATGGCCTGCCGAGGGGATCTCCCAGAGGCGATGGCCTGCCGAGGGGATCTCCCAGAGGCGATGGCCTGCCGAGGGGATCTCCCAGAGGCGATGGCCTGCCGAGGGGATCTCCCAGAGGCGATGGCCTGCCGAGGGGATCTCCCAGAGGCGATGGCCTGCCGAGGGGATCTCCCAGAGGCGATGGCCTGCCGAGGGGATCTCCCAGAGGCGATGGCCTGCCGAGGGGATCTCCCAGAGGCGATGGCCTGCCGAGGGGATCTCCCAGAGGCGATGGCCTGCCGAGGGGATCTCCCAGAGGCGATGGCCTGCCGAGGGGATCTCCCAGAGGCGATGGCCTGCCGAGGGGATCTCCCAGAGGCGATGGCCTGCCGAGGGGATCTCCCAGAGGCGATGGCCTGTCGAGGGGATCTCCCAGAGGCGATGGCCTGCCGAGGGGATCCCCCAGAGGCGATGGCCTGCCGAGGGGATCTCCCAGAGGCGATGGCCTGCCGAGGGGATCTCCCAGAGGCGATGGCCTGCCGAGGGGATCTCCCAGAGGCGATGGCCTGCCGAGGGGATCTCCCAGAGGCGATGGCCCGCCGAGGGGATCTCCTAGAGGCGATGGCCTGCCGAGGGGATCTCCCAGAGGCGATGGCCTGCCGAGGGGATCTCCCAGAGGCGATGGCCTGCCGAGGGGATCTCCCAGAGGCGATGGCCTGCCGAGGGGATCTCCCAGAGGCGATGGCCTGCCGAGGGGATCTCCCAGAGGCGATGGCCTGCCGAGGGGATCTCCCAGAGGCGATGGCCTGCCGAGGGGATCTCCCAGAGGCGATGGCCTGCCGAGGGGATCTCCCAGAGGCGATGGCCTGCCGAGGGGATCTCCCAGAGGCGATGGCCTGCCGAGGGGATCTCCCAGAGGCGATGGCCTGCCGAGGGGATCTCCCAGAGGCGATGGCCTGCCGAGGGGATCTCCCAGAGGCGATGGCCTGCCGAGGGGATCTCCCAGAGGCGAGGGCCTGCCGAGGGGATCTCCCAGAGGCGATGGCCTGCCGAGGGGATCTCCCAGAGGCGATGGCCTGCCGAGGGGATCTCCCAGAGGCGATGGCCTGCCGAGGGGATCTCCCAGAGACGATGGCCTGCCGAGGGGATCTCCCAGAGGCGATGGCCTGCCGAGGGGATCTACCAGAGGCGATTTCCTGCCGAGGGGATCTCCCAGAGGCGATGGCCTGTCGAGGGGATCTCCCAGAGGCGATGGCCTGCCGAGGGGATCTCCCAGAGGCGATGGCCTACCGAGGGGATCTCCCAGAGGCGATGGCCTGCCGAGGGGATCTCCCAGAGGCGATGGCCTGCCGAGGGGATCTCCCAGAGGCGATGGCCTGCCGAGGGGATCTCCCAGAGGCGATGGCCTGCCGAGGGGATCTCCCAGAGGCGATGGCCTGCCGAGGGGATCTCCCAGAGGCGATGGCCTGCCGAGGGGATCTCCCAGAGGCGATGGCCTGCCGAGGGGATCTCCCAGAGGCGATGGCCTGCCGAGGGGATCTCCCAGAGGCGATGGCCTGCCGAGGGGATCTCCCAGAGGCGATGGCCTGCCGAGGGGATCTCCCAGAGGCGATGGCCTGCCGAGGGGATCTCCCAGAGGCGATGGCCTGCCGAGGGGATCTCCCAGAGGCGATGGCCTGCCGAGGGGATCTCCCAGAGGCGATGGCCTGCCGAGGGGATCTCCCAAAGGCGATGGCCTGCCGAGGGGATCTCCCAGAGGCGATGGCCTGCCGAGGGGATCTCCCAGAGGCGATGGCCTGTCGACGGGATCTCCCAGAGGCGATGGCCTGCCGAGGGGATCTCCCGGAGGCGATGGCCTGTCGAGGGGATCTCCCAGAGGCGATGGCCTGTCGAGGGGATCTCCCAGAGGCGATGGCCTGTCGAGGGGATCTCCCAGAGGCGATGGCCTGTCGAGGGGATCTCCCAGAGGTGATGGCCTGTCGAGGGGATCTCCCAGAGGCGATGGCCTGTCGAGGGGATCTCCCAGAGGCGATGGCCTGTCGAGGGGATCTCCCAGAGGCGATGGCCTGTCGAGGGGATCTCCCAGAGGCGATGGCCTGTCGAGGGGATCTCCCAGAGGCGATGGCCTGTCGAGGGGATCTCCTGATGCAAATCATGCAATAGAAATAAACAGTGAGGACTGAAAACTACACGTGTTACAGTATATGCTGCATAATGAACAATAAACACAGGGCTAGGTTGTTCAAGATAAAACAATTAATTAACGTGCCGGGTGAAATCGATTCCTAGGTCCTATCGTTGTATTTTAGTACACGTACCTGACCCTGTGTGTGATGCACATGACTGCCAGAAGGACCCAGCCGTCGACAGCGACGGAGAACTGGCGACTCCCAAGCACTCCCAGACACACGAGCAGCATTGTGGCGAGTAGCTCAGCCAGACAAGCGCGCAGCAGAGCCCAGCCTCTGACGTCACGACCGGTGCCGCCATGCGACTGCCCGCTGTCTCCACGTCCTTCGCGATGGTAATGTTGACCGCTAGCACTGTGGTCCATGCTACCGTACGTTTGAGGTCGCAGATCGCTCCGGTCTTGGTCTTGTGCCACTAACGCACATGTATCCCTCAGAGCATGATTTTGCGGGACAGTGCCGTCGCTACCAAGCAGTTGGTTGTTGTAGGGGTCCGTTGCTGCGAAACTCCTACTTGTGCCCGTGCGAACCTGCGCCATTTCAACACTGGAGTCTGGAGTGTACAAGTAGCTATCGCGGCGTATAGGGCTTGAAAGTGATGACGTCAAAACAGCCAGGGAGTAGTAAGTTGACATCAGATTTCTATTTTTGGATCCACTAAGGTGTGACTTTGCTATTGCCTAAGTATGTGGGTGCATAGCAACCCACTCATGTCGCATGCAGGTGTGACTTTTATTTCGCCACCAGTTGTAACCCCGCCCCCAGTAGCCAAATCACTCAGTTTCACTGGCTACATCACCATGCTGTGGGTAAGACCGCTTGAAATGTGCTTGGATCCATACAAAAACTGGATCCAAGTGGATCCAGTTTTTGAATTTTTGAAATTGTTGCTATGCTGTGACGTAGCACTTTCAAGCCCTATTGCGGCTCCTCTGTCACCGTGACTAGGTCCAGGACGTAGACACAGTTTTCCTGACGTGACGCTGAAGCCGGACGTACAACAGTCAACACCGCACTTGTAGGCATGAAGATAGCCAAGGCGTACAGTAGAAGTTGTGAGTGTATTCGGGCGGGCGGCTACCAGCGCGGTTGGGATAAGATCGACTACAGCCAGCCGTACGTAGATCTACGACTGTATGAGACACTTGCTTACCCTAGACTATAGCAATGATGTCCTAGATAATCAGAGGAAGGCTGGTAACTAGTACTAGTACCTGTACCTGTACTGTGGTCATGCCTCATGGGGCCGGGGACTGCTGTTCGCACTTCAATCTCTTCCCAAGCAAACAAGCCAACGCTGGTGTGTGGTCAAGTGCGCAATCTATCCAGATGATTACGATTGTGGGCAGAACACGCAGCTCCGAGGCGAAGAACAGCTCACACGAAGACCATAATTATGATTACGATTATGGGCAGCACACCCTGCAGCTCTGAGGTGAACACCTCAGACGACGACACAGGTCAAACGCGTTTTTAGGTGATAAGCATATTGTGATAATAATTTTAGGGTTGCATCGAGTTTTGACTGTCTCCGTATGGCCGTACTCGCGACGCGGTCCGACTCGGAGCAAAGTGCATGGGCATCGGCTCGGAGACAGTTCTCTGCGACGCGTTACGCTGCTCGCTGACTTTGCAATACACGATACTCCTGGCTTTCAGATAGTACCATACTACTACTTCAGTAGTAGTAGAACAAGTAGCAGCTAGTCGCAGCTGCCGCGCAACGACAGCACCCTGGACAGTCATGACTGGTTTTGGCATGCAACTGTACATTGTACATCAGTGCTAATATTACACACGATCGTACGAGTACCACGCGTCTGGTTTGCTGTAACTAATACTAGCTTCATGCCAGATGCTGAGATGGCAATCTTCAGACAACTCATTATCATAACAGTGATGCATAGCTAGCATGGTATTTAATATTTATACAGTGGCATAGGAAGGATAGCTAGCATGGCATTTATACAGTGCTAATATTATAATTATTTATCCATCACAACCATGACTGGTTTGGCATACGCCGGTGCCAACATTATCCCATTGCTTATCCCTCGCATCATCCATAACGTCTGTCTGTGTGATAGTGGCCTTCATTCGTAAATCGCGTAGTGTTATGACAATCTAAGCGCCGAGTATCACGGATGATCTTATCAAGTTTAACTCGGATACTGGGCCAGTATTTAAATGTAAAAAAAAGAGAAGAAAACACATGGGAACGAGTTATGCAGTAACTATCCACGACTGTAACAAGATGATAAACAGTTAGAAAGTGTGATAAAAGGGCACCAAACTGACAGGCTACTGAGACATTCAGCGACCTGAGACTTAGCTCTAGCACATCTCCAGTGCGCAAACCAACAGCCTTCCGACTTGGAAAGGTTTATGGTTACGTAGGACCGAAGAGGGGAAGGTGAGCGCAGCGAAAATGTGCACAAGCTAAGACCCCCGGCAACAAAGAATGCCGACTGTTACAGGACGATGACGAGTCCAGTTAAGCTGCGCTGAGCTGCGCTCACCTTCCCCTCTTCGGTCCAACGTAACCATGAACCTTCCAGGTTGGAAGGCTGTTGGTTTGCGCACTGGAGATGTGTTAGAGCTAGGTCTTGGGTCGCTGAATGTCTCAGTAGCCTGTCAGTTTTGTGGCCTATTATCGCACTTTCTGACCGTTATCATCTTGTTACAGTCGTGGATAGTTGCTGCATAACTCGTTCTCATGTGTTTCTTCTCTTTTTACGTGATCTTATTCCCCACGGCACAGAGCACCAAGCATCGTTCGTTGTACCTAATAGTTTCATGCCCATACATAGGCAATCATCAGTCAACTGATACCGGATGAACAGCCAAGATCCGATTATATGCAGTAGTGTACAGAGGCAGCGATGTGTGTAAGCAAGAGTGAGGAATTTCATACAGTCATGGATTCAGCGGGCCTTGCGGCCTGACGCTAGGATGTAGTACTTCTGGGCTATGCAGAGGTTGCAGCGCCTTACGACGTTGGAGTGCTGCTATCATAGCACTCATGTCTTAGCGTGGTCATGTGGTTGGAGTGTCTGCTCTTGAACTCTGGCGCCGACATCCCAGTGTATGTTCTCAAGATGCTGCCCGACTTGATGCTTGCCACGTACACCATGTTGGTGGTCCTGCATGCACCATTCAGTGGGCATAGCGCTTCAACACGGCAATTGCATGGTAAATCATCACGTTTCGATTGTAGTACTTTCTTGTTGTGTCCTTTTATTCTGGTTTCCATACTCGGCATGCAGCTACAGCTCACCTTTACGGTATTGCGGTTGAAGAGCTTTCTCAATCTGGATCCATTGGGAAAATGCTTCGATATCAGCGCGAGAAACTGTCCGGCGATGTTTGTTGTCACGTTCGCACCGTATGGAGTGTTGAACCATATCACATTTCGCTTTCGCCCCTTCCTTCCACGCGGCTGCGTGTCGACACCGCTGTAGGTTAGAGGTGTAGTGTGTACTCCGGCGGCAAGCGCGTTGGCATACTCCGGCGCCGCTTCCTCAAACTCCTTCTTGGAGCTTGATATCGAAGCCAACCGCTTGTTGATCCCCGCTGGTATGTTTTTCAGGACCTGTGGCGGATGGTTGGATTGAGTGCTCACATACAGGGGGCCTCATTAGGTTTCCTGTATGGCTTGAGTGTTCCCGATCGTAAGCACATGGTGATATCCAGATAATTGATAGTGCTCATATTGGACGCAATCATGATTTTCAGCCCGCATGCTTTGAAGACTTCAGTAACCTGCTTCCTTGTTCTGTCTGCCATAGGCTCACTAGCGTCCTTCAGTACTGCCAGACCGTCGCCCCGACACAGACCCACAGACTGTTTGCTGAGGTGCGCAGTGAGCTTCTCCAGAATGTATATAGTCCGACTAGCTCACAAGCCTCAGCACCGTCATATGCACCCATGGTGACATCGAACATGTCTCCCCTTCCCTGCTTCGACCACAGCTTCCGACCCCGGCACAAGGCACCCCTACCCGCCATCAGCAGTCAAATGGCCTACTAAGCCAGACAAACCGTAGCCGCAGCGGTCAGCGGAGATTTTCTGCTGCTTGTGCTCTGCTGTGGAACGCTCTCCCTGGTGAGGTCCGCACAATTCCCCGGCTACCTGAGTTTAAGCATGCATGTGTACCATACGCCTGTAGGGAGTAGTTCGAGTTGCTGCTGATAGCTCTGCTCTCTCTCTCCCCGTGCAGTTCAGTAATCCTCGCGTAGCATGACAGATACATCGCATTCTCTCTCTCTCTCTCTCTCCCCCCCCCCCCCGTTCACTCGCAGCTATTAGTATCCTATTCTCTTACCATGTGCTTCCATAGCCTATACTATGTTCTTCCATAGCCACTTCTAGGCTAAGCTTTCGCCGTCATTTTATTGGGTCGTCATCCCGTTTGAATGCGCGAAGTGAAATAAAAACCAACCAACCAACAACCACCTGGCCATCTGAGAATGGCTTCGATATCAAGCTCCAAGAAGGAGTTTGAGGAAGCGGCGCCGGAGTATGCCAACGCGCTTGCCGCCGGAGGACACACTACACCTCTAACCTACAGCAGTGTCGACACGCAGCCGCGTGGAAGGAAAGGGCGAAAGCGAAATGTGATATGGTTCAACACTCCATACGGTGCGAACGTGACAACAAACATCGCCGGACAGTTTCTCGCGCTGATATCGAAGCATTTTCCCAATGGATCCAGATTGAGAAAGCTCTTCAACGGCAATACCGTAAAGGTGAGCTGTAGCTGCATGCCGAGTATGGAAACCAGAATAAAAGGACACCACAAGAAAGTACCACAACCGAAACGTGATGATTTACCATGCAATTGCCGTGTTGCAGCGCTATGCCCACTGAATGGTGCATGCAGGACCACCAACATGGTGTACGTGGCAAGTATCAAGTCGGGCAGCACCTTGAAAACATACACTGGGGTGTCGGTCCCAGAGTTCAAGAGCAGACACTCCAACCACATGACGACGCTAAGACATGAGCGCTATGATAGCAGCACCCAGCTGGCTAAGTATGTATGGAGCTTTCCTGGGTCGTCAAGGAGCGTGCTAATGCCTACTCCAACGTCGCAAGGCGCTGCAACCTCTGCATAGCCGAGAACTACCGTACCCTAGCATCAGACCGCAGAATCTCGCTCAACAAACGCACAAACGCACGGAGATTGTATCCAAGAGTCACCATGCTGCAAAGTTCCTGCTTCACAAGTACAACGGTGTGACCTAAATCACTCTTGCTGCGCCCGCTGAATCCATGTATGAAATTCCTCACTCTTGCTTACACACATCGCTGCCTCAGTAGCAGTACTGCATATAATCGGATCTTGGCTGTTCATCCGGTATCAGTTATCTGATGATTGCCTATGTATGGGCATGAAGCAATTAGTTACCACGAACGATGCTTGGTGCTCTGTGCCGTGTGCAAGTAGTTAGCTCTATTCGAACCGTTCCGAACGAATATTGATCACTCTACAGAGCCGGAGCGGCGGAGGACTCTCATTTGCATGATCTTATTCAAATGGCGAGGAGACAACAATAAACCGTAATCAATAAGACAA